CTTTAAACATTAGAAAAACAACCCAATACAGGAGGTAAGTGTTGGGGACCTTGTTTTATGAGATAAGCAGTAAGGTGTACCATGAAACAGTGCTCAAAAGGTTCCAGGCAGTTAAAACTCCTAGATGAATACAATTTCCCTGGGTTGGTCTGCAGAGTTGTGGCAAGCAAGTTAGCGTCTAAACCATAATCTCACAGAACCTGAAAGAGACGTAGGGGTGGAGGAAGGCAGGAGTACAGGGATTTCAGGAGAAGAGATGAAGAGGCCTACTGTCAGAGAAAGAAAGGGAAGGAAAAATAAAAGCACACAAAACACACATCTTATTACCTCAAGGCTCACATTCCATCCAGTCACATCCAGTCAATCCAGTTCCCTGCACATTTTAGCAACCTCTTCTTTCCTCTCCACCTCAACATCTTAGACAGGCCATCATCACTCAGCTGGATCACTATGTAGTTCCCAAACTAATTTTATTTCCCTCAAACTCTTCCTCTAATCCCTCTACCAAACCAGAGACAGTCATCTTTCTAAAATTCAAATCCGATCATGTTATTCTCTGCTGAAAAATCAATGACTCCCTCTTACCTACAGGATAAAATTCAAGGAAAGAGATCACAGAGGATTCATGAATTCAGACACATACATGATTCCACAGATAATAAAGAAGGCATATTTAAGTGGTTCTGTTCAGGTTAGAAGTTGAATATAAAACATCTGGATTTTAGGAGTGTGAAACCTGGGCATGAGATAGAGATTTGGGTGACAACAGTATGTCAGTGGGAGTTAAAATGGGTGCATACAAATGTATTGTGTCAAGTTATATTTAAATATTGAAAGCCCTGGTGGCCTAGTGGTTAAGTTTGGCACACTCCACTTCAGCAGCCCGGATTTGGTTCCCAGGCACGGATCTACACCACTCATCTATCAGTGGCCATGCTGTGGCAGCAACCCAATACAAAAAATAGAGGAAGACTGGCAACAGATGTTAGCTCAGGGCAAATCTTCCTCAGCAAAAAAATAAAAAAAAGATAAAATCAAAAACATAAAGAAAGGAGACCAATCACACTTGAAAAAGGACTAAATAAAACTCCTAGAAATTGAAAAATTATTAAAATGTTTAAAATCCTTAAACAGGAGATGAGGTAGAGCTAAAGAATGAATGAAATAGAATACTGAAATTACCCAGGAGGCAGTCCACAAAGGGATGGAAAATAAAAAAAAGGAGACATGAAGACAGGATAAGATTGATCAGACATATAATGATCCATAAGGAGAAGGGAGAAAAGTTGTGGGGTGGGAAATGGGACGGAGTCAATATTCAATGAGAAAATGGTTGAGAATTTTCCAGAATTTATAAAAATACATGAATCATAAAATTCATAAAGGACAATAAATCCAAAGCAAGGGAAAAAACTCCATGTCTAGATGCATCATACAGACACTGCACAACATCTATGAAGAATAAATTCTTATAAGCAACCATAGAGAAAAGGCAGATTACTTTCAAGAGGTACAATTAGACTGTTGGCAGACTTCTCAAAAGCTGCATAAAAGCCAAGAGACAATGACATAATATATTTTCAAATTACTGGGGAAAAAAATAGCTGTACTCTTAGAATTTTATACCCAGGCAAACTATCATCAAGAGTAAGAGAGAAATAATACTGAAAGGATTTAACTGCTGGCCCTACTGAGGTCACCTCACCTCTGTGGAGCCCAACAATGCAGCCTACACAGAGAAGAGAGAGAAACTGGGTCCTGGTGATACTTTTGAGTTCCTGTTTGCAGGCAACTCTAATGTCAGCCTTAATTTCGGACATCTCAGCCGCTGGAGGTAATACATCTTCATCAACCTGGGGTTTGTTTTTTTTAACCAAATGTAATATAAGTTAAAACATCAGAGTCCTCTTTAGTATGTATATCCCCTCAAGGGGCTGTCACAGTGCCTAGCTTACTTAGGAAATGAATTATCTGAAAGGGATCTTTTGGTAGAGCTTGCAAATTAAGAGCTAAGAAAACAAGAGAGTCAGTTCAGAGTCTATAGAATACAATTTAGGAAAATGAGTTCAAAAAAATCCATGGAAAACAAATTGTGAAGTGGCTCTGACTATGCAGTCATCACTATTTTCTTGCCTTAGGATAGCATTTGATTCAGACCAGTCTTTTACAGTTTATTGGTCAGAGGTTAAAAAGATGCCAATATTTCCCACCAACGTAAGAACTTCAGCTTCTAGCACAAGTCTCAATTAATTGCATTTATGATTTCACAATTAGAACAGTGTGAGAGTTGGCAGGAAGCAGTGCCTGGATTTCCTGAGGCTACTGGGTCACTATCCAAACCATTTTAAGAAAACTTAGAATAAGCAAAAAATATTACTGATTGTCTCTAATGGAAAACTATGTATTGTTTAGAGCAGATCCTTCCAGATTAGCTCAATCTAGCCTTTCATTGTCTTTGAGGTCTTTTCCAACAACTCTTGGAAGTTATAGATAATTGATAGCAATGCAAAATCATTCTTGCCTATAAACATGCAAATAATTTCTGTCCAATGGAAGTCCAATTAACACCCTTCCCCAATGGAAAAAGCAGTTTTTTCTACTTGTGAATTCATTTCAACATTCCTCTACCCCATATAAATGTGTTTCTCTCGATTGTAATATCTGTCTGATTCCCTCATTAAAAGTTAAGTAAGGGGGCCGGCACTGTGGTGCATCCGTTAAGTGTATGCACTCTGCTTCAGTGGCCCGAGGGTTTGCAGGTTCGGATCCCCGGCGAGCACCGACGCACCACTTGTCAAGCCATACTGTGGTGGCGTCTCATATGAAGTAGAGGAAGATGGGCACAGATGTTAGCCCAGGGCCAACCTTCCTTGGCAAAAAGAGGAAGATCGGCATCGGATGTTAGCTCAGGGCTGATCTTCCTCATAAAAAAAAAAAAAAAAAAGTTAAGTAAAATCCTTAACACATATTCACTTTTTATCTGTATGAAATCATGACTTTACTCTTTGAGAATTCTCTTAAGACCATCAAAAACAATGCAATATTTCTAGAAGAGACCAGATTTCTAGAGCTTACTTCAAAATAAATTGGTTATAAAATTTTTGCTTTAAACCAGCTTCTTAATATAATCAAGAAGTTTCTCAGATTTCATTAAAACATAATGTTAGATTTATTTAGGATGCATAATGCGATTAAATCTTAAATTACATTCGGATTAACAAAATTAGAAGGACAGTCTAAAAAGAATTCTAACAAATCTGCAAACTGAAAACACTAACTGCTATGTGTTTTAATGTTTTACTAAGTAGCTGTTAAACAATGATATTCTTAGCATATTAACCAGAGCAAGATAAAAGCCCTCTTCTGCCTTTTTGCAAATATTACCCAAAGAATCACTTTATAGACAATCTTTTAGAAATAATCTCTCAAATACCCACCACAAAAAATTCCAAATATGTGTGAATTTCATAGTGAGCTTTAGTGATATTTTTCCAAAAGGTAACATAGGCAAGGAACCATAATTTTACATGTATTTAGCATTCAGTAGAATATCTAACTTTCTGCCTAAATTATATAGTCTTTCCTAGGAACTTTTTCAAATTTGTAAAATTTTACCCAAATTCCTAAAAGTTATAAATTCTTTGCTGCTTTATTCCTCCTCACCACCCTTGTAACTGATTACATTGCCTCTACCACAACTGAGGAGACTGGAGAAGAGAAATGGGTCACAGGAGAAGCACAAGAGCCATGAACAAGTTTTGTGGTCACTAATGTTCCTGAACCACAATTTTCACTACATCAAAAGACCATTTAGAAGTCATGTTCAAGTCACAACGTTTCACTTCAACAATGGACTTCTTATATAGGTCTAAACTTAAATAAATTTATGTTGTAGGAAAAAGAGATGAAATTAGGGACAATTTCCTGACTATATGATCCAACTACACATAGATAACTAAAGAGAAATCATCAACTATCTTCGACTAATCATCTACTGGATATTTTATAACTTCCTGGTCTTCCAGATGGCTAGGAGGGCTTAGATGATTTCTTCCAGTGGTCTACAATCCCTGGAGGAAACTTACCTAGATGTTATAATTCATCTTAAAATAATACCATTTTTTAAGTACTTAGCACTCTACTAAATAGTTAACATATAATTTCCTATCCTAAAAGCAACCTTACAAGTACTAGCATCTATATTTCTACAAGTAAGGAAAATGGGCTCCAAGAGGTTGAGAAAATTGAACCCACTACACCACTAATAATCAGAAAAACAAAATTGAGCCTAAGTCGATCAGACTCCACAGACTATTTCTATTATACTCTACAAAGTTGATGCAACAATTTTTTTCACTATACCTCAAATTTAGACTGCAAACTTAAGTTTAGTATCTATGCCTTCTTTATAGAATTTTACCTGATAATGTAAGAAAAAAAAACAAAGATGTTCTAGAGATTATGATAGGTCTTTTGCAATCCTGTGTTTATTTTGGTGAAATAGAAGTGAAAACAGAATTCTCTGTCATCAAGATGATTCACTTTAAGTGTTGCAAAAATCTTGCCTGGCTGTTTGTGCTAGAAAATGAATCACTTCTGAAAACTCAAAATACAAAATTTGAGTGCAATGAACCAGATTTATGTTAATTATATATACCTTAGTCTTGAGAGATTTCTTAGACATTTTTAGATAACTACATATTTAACTTCATTCCTTTAAGGTCCAGTCATATCCATGCTCTAAAGACATTATTACCACATTTTTCTCCAAAGAGCTCATCTTACATTATGTTAAATGACTATAGGGAAAGATAAATTCCAGAACAGTCTCACAATCTACAATAGTATAAGCTTCCTAAAACAAATTACCATAACATCTTTAGGTCATCAGGCCCATTTTAAATAACTTGACATTTAAGTATAATTCCATCAAAATTCAGTAAATGAACCACTCTATATTGTTTGCCCCTTTATCCATTCTCTGAAGAACCAATACTTACCCCATGTTCCTTAGCAGCTATGACAACTTCAAGGAGGACGCCTTCCTCAACAAATGGTCTCACAGCATCGTGGATAATCACCACTTCTGGCTTAGCGAGCTTAGAATTGGGCTGATCCTCTGCCAGTGCTTTCAGTGCATTGAAAATTGACCTGTGGCGGGTCACTCCAGCTTCAACTAGTGAGATGTGTTTATGCTGGTACCTCTGAATAATATCCTTCATCACTTCCATGTTCTCTCCAGTTACTGCCACGACGATGTCCTTTATCCAGCATACTCTAAAAGGAAAGTATGTACACATTTCATATAAATTGATTCTTATACAGCAACTAAAGTTAAGCTAATAACAGAAAATTGAATTACTAACAACTACTAGTGCATCTTCATCGGGAGATTAAAAACTGCAAGTTAATAAATCAGTCTTATGCATTTTTATCCAGTCTAGTAAAGAGGTCAGTAAATGAAGAATCAGTGAAATGGTGTATTGTGTGAATTATATATAGATGAAATATATACATATATATATATCAGATCTCTGACTTAAAAGTTAAATTTGAATAATTAGAATATCGGTAGATTGAGAGAAAAGAATGTAATAAGAATATGCTTTTAAATTGAGGAAAAAAACATTTGGAAAAAAATCAATTGAATAGAAACAATTCAAAGCACTTTTACATTCCAAAAGTTCTGTCTTTCAAAAGTCCATTGAGTTGTCAACAAAGCTGGATAAAGGATGTAACCCTAACTTTGCCTACATAAAGGTGAAATATCATAGCTTAAATAGGGAAACTACAATAATTAAATTTGTATAAATATAAATCAGGTTCAGATAAGACGGAAAACCTCATAATTTAACGAAATATAAAATTAAAGGAATCTGTTGAGTCAGCTACAAAACATAAAGCAATTTTTTTTCTGTTGTAAAACATTTTCTTAAAGACCTACTGACATACTGCACTGCAAACAGTCCACACTGGGTGGTGACTGCATGAAAAAAGTTTGGCAGACTTCTCTTGAACACCAGTGGTAACAGAGGCTAATGTCATCATAGACTCAATGTTCCACAACCAACAGGCCCAAACCAGGAAAACTGCCTCTGACCCATGATATCAACTCTATTGAATAAAGGTCACTTTAAAATTTAATGGAGGGCCGGCTCTGTGGCTTAGCGGTTAAGTGCGCGCGCTCTGATGCTGGCGGCCCGGGTTCGGATCCCGGGCGCGCCCCGAGGCACCACTTCTCCGTCCAACGCGAGGCCGAGTCCCACGTACAGCAACTAGAAGGATGTGAACCTATGACATACAACT